AGCACTGGAAAAGAAGAGAATAAAAACAGAAGCTTCCACATTTAATGAAATAAAGGAAAGAAGAGACACTGGTAAAGGAGAGAGAATAAGCAGAGATGCCCAAAGGAGGCATGGGCAAGCTGGACATGTCTACACTGGGACCACAGGCTTCAAAGACAGAAGAGGGTCTTCTGATTTTGCAAGTGTTTTTGGTTTTGTGTTAGGTGTCTGTTGTGATCTTCTTTGACAGGAAGATGAAAAAGAGCAATGAATATTGTGTATCTCAAGAATCTTTCTGACTTCTAAAATTTATTAAGTCAGAAGTTGATATCGTGAAACTGAAATAATGGATCTTTCCACGAGAAATACTGAAGAGCCCACCAGACTCTTCAGGAATATGCGCTGGGTGTGTTTCCAGAGCAGCCCAAATCATTGCAGGTTCATGGAGCAGCTAATGGCCAAGCTGCCCACCTGCCTAAGCTCAAGTGTGTGTGTCCTAGACAGCAGGTTGCCCATGCCTTGAATCCAGCAAGACTAAGAATAGGTGGAACCCAGAAAAATCAATTTTATCTGGGTGTGCACAGAGATCTGCAATCCAGGTGGTTCCAAGGCTCCTTTAATAGGAAATTCAAATAAGCATGTTATTTTCCCCCATTCTTTGGGGGCATCTAATAACTGAACCACAAGGGAGGAGAGTAGCCATTCTACCATCCAAATAATTGAGAGGGTGACATTTGCTCATGATATGCAGCATGATAGAACAGAAATGGTTTCTTCTACAATAAGCACTACCTTTACCAAATTTACAATAAGGATTTCTGGTAGGATGAAAACATGTTAAATTAGCAAAACTTTGGGTGCAAAAAGGCGTCTCTTATATGCCAGTAGCTAAAGCACGCTATCTCCACTCACGCTGACACTTTGTCAACACACTCTGCTAATTATTCAGGATAACATTTTTCATAATTGGCAAGGCCATGCCCCCTGCGTGGACTTTCTCAGTGAATGTTGGAAATTGCTAAATACAATTTATGTAATTTATTTTTGTCAATGACCTTATTAGAGCTTCTACTGCCAAACAGTATTTGTGGGTGGATGTGCGAATGAAAATGCAGTCTTGACTTTTTCAAAAAAGAAGTTATATAACTTTACACTTCATAAATTTAACAACCAAAATGTTATCTGTAATAAGTGTTTCGAGGAAGCACTGTTTTACCACTGACTGGTTTGATGGGAGTTGATTAGATAATGGTGTTTCATCTCTGTGTTGTTACTGATATTGGCCCCATTCCAGTTGGCTGCTAAGGTGTCTAAACACTCACAAACAAAAATTACCCATAAAACTTGTGACAGGGTTCTCTGGGTTCATGGATACAGATCACTGCACATCTGGATGGGTTGTTTTGGCTCAGTTTATAATGTCATATTCCTTGTAAACATGATACACCTGTCTCTCCATTTAACAGACAGTTTTGGAAACTAAAGCATTTATTTTCTCCTGGAAATCTACAGTGTCATATTATTTACCAATATTGAACCCAAGAGTCACTTAATCATTCCAGAATTTCCATTAGTTTACCTTCACATACAATAGCCCTTTATTTAAGTAAATTAGAAGGAAAAAAATCTGCTTTATTTTGGCATAATGGAGAAGTTAAAGGGACACAATGAAAACATCAAATAGCTTGTGATTTCCATTCTCTTTCAGAGAATAAAGATTGGGACTTGCAACTATTTTCATGTTTTACATGTTGGAATTACTTTTCCTGTGGATGTTTCAAAGGATCAATCACCAAACTTTTTGTGAGCATTAACCATGTACAAGGCACTGCAGAACAGACTTACAGGTTACGAAAAAGTGTATCACTGTTGTTACACTATTCCACAGGAGCTTACAACCCACTTAGGAGGATAGGATGGATACGCATGAAAAGATACTGAAATGGACAATAAATAGGTGTCAATCATGCACAGGGTGGGAATAAAGCAGGTGATGAATGGCAGGTGCCAGTGTCCGTAGCAAACAAGGATGAGGCTGCCCTTTGATTTAAGACCCGATCTGCTGCCTGCAGAGTCAATCACGGTTGGTACTCTGACTCTCATCTCAAAATCATTGACTTCAAATGAGCCACATTATTAGTGTAGGTCTCGGGATTTATTTCCAGGCAATGCCATGAAATATATATCAGATTTTCTGCTCCTCATCCCCTGCATTCTGCTGCTAAGCCTCAAATACAAACTCTCATCCCCAAGGTGTATACACATTGCACCCTCAGCTTTATGTTTACTGAATATGCCAGCCAAAATCATTACACTGGGAAGGAAACTTAGGGGCCAAAATTCAAATGCTCTGAGGACATTTGCAAGTGGAAATTTAATAGTCTTTAGAACAAAAGCCCTGGAGTTCTATCTTCATAATTGTGGTGCTAAAGAAGTAGTTTAAGATAGCAATGTGAAAGGCAGTTTCTGAAGAAGAAGACACACTCGTGAATTTTCTTGTGACCACAGTACTTAACTGTCCTAAGAAAATGTTGGTAGATTAAATAAATGACCATAGATCTTCTCATAATTCATCGATTCCATTCTATCTACCTTTAAGTGCCTACTATATACCAGGTTCTGTGATAGATGCTGGGAAAACGAAGATGAACCAGCTCGGCATTCAAGAAATTTTCCCTTTGGTGGGGAAGAGACAAGAAAATACACTACAAAAAAAAGTGTATATGTGCTCCTACAGGAGCATGGAATATAAAGGAAGGAAGGAAACCAAGACAGGGGGGATCTCTAAGTTGAGTTTTCAGAAGTTAAAAAGATGGGCAAAGACAGACCTGGAGAAGAAGACAATACCTGTGTTGTAGGTTCATGGGGCCCAAATAGCACCCATTTTCTCCCCCCCAAAATCAATTGAAAGTAATTCACACATGACAGCAGAGGGGAGCTGGTATGGAGAGAACATTTATATCCCCCCGGGTGGGTATGTTAAAATCCCACACCCAGCAATGGTGTTGCTGATGGAGCCATTGGGAAGTGATCAGAAGGTACAGGTGGAGCCATCATGAATGGGATGTCCTTGTGAAAGAGACCTTTAGATTTCCATGGTCTCTTTTTACCATGTGATGATACAGGAAAAAAAGTGACATTCTGTAACCTGGAAGAAGCCCTCACAAACGCCTGGTCATGCTGACCCCTTGACCTCAGATTTCCAGCTGTAGAACTGTGAGAAATCAACGTCTATTGGGTCTGAGCTACCTGGACTGCCGTGGGTTGTTCCAGCAGCTCTGATGAAAACCTCTGTCACCAGAGAAGGCTGCAGTGGAGGACACAGGTCACCCCTGTGGGTGAGAGTTGTCCAGACTCGGGCAGTCACAGATGATGCTGGACCAGCAGGACACAGAGCAGGTGGGGAGGCCAAGAGCAGGCTAGCTCCTAAAAAAAAAGGAGGTCTCTTGGCTGTTTCTCCTTCCAAATCCTTCAGTTAGATAGGTCACACTCCACCTTCTCTGGGGTGAAGGCTGTGAGGACATGAACAGAGGAGTAAAGTCAGGCTTGTCATCCTGGTAGGATTCTCTTCACCTTCATAAGACAGCAGGAATGGGAAAGAGACATTACTCCATTTCACTGTGAGGATGCAGAGACAGGAGAGAAAGGCAAGGCACAGGAACAGGAGAGAAAGGCATGGCACAGGAAGGGCAAACAAATTGATGCAACGAAAACAGATGACCTGGAACCACATCTTAGGGGGAGGCTGATGGGGGCCACCTCACAAAGGGGTATATGATGGACCAAATGCACGTATCTCTCAACGTTCATGTTGAAGCCCGAGGCGATAGTACTAGGTATAACAGACTCACAAGGAAGGGTCTTTGGGAGTTAAATGGGATTACAAGAGCTCAGGAGGTGGAAGCCCTCATGAATGGGGTTAGTGCCCTTGCAAGAGTCCCAAGAAAGCTTTCCTACTCTCTCCACCATGTGAAATCACAAGTCTGGAACCCAGAAGTGTACCCTGACCACAGCCCAACTACGCTGGCACCCTGATCTCCAACTTCCAGCTCCCAGAACTGCGAGGAATCAGTGGCTGTTTTTCATAAGCTACCCAGGCCAAGGTGCTTAGTTATAGCAGCCCAGACCAAGGCTGCTGAAAAAAAGAAACCAGAAGCTCTATATTTTAAGCATTAGTGTCCACCCTGTCCCCGACAAGGAGAACCCACTCCTTACATCAAATCTAGTCACAGTTCAAATATTTTGAGGCCAGTAACCAATGGTGATGGTGACAATCTGTGAGGGACATACAAGTAACAGCAGGGGGATGAAGAGCTCAGTGATGGACACAGTGTGAGCACTACTGACCGGAGGCCACAAACCGTCCCCTCTGCCTGTTTGCTCATTTTCACATCTTCTCAGCCACAGTGCTACTCTGAAGGTTCTGAAGCAATGAACAAAGAAAATGATCACCTGTCCATCTTCAAACAAGCATTCACAAGAACCTATATGGACACAATTTTAAAAGAAATTCATTTAAACTTCATTATTAACCTTGTAAAAGATAATTCTTCCAAGACAATTCCTTCCAATACCCTACAACACTATGATTTCATTCTGACTAGCAGAAGCAACTCTGAAAGAATTAAGTGGTGCTAAAACATTTATTTCTGATGAACTCCACTATGAAGTTTAGGACTCTCAAATATTCTGTCTGAATCTCTCTATGAAAGACAATCTGGCCTGAACCAAAAACATGTATGTGTACATGTGTGTGTGTGTGTGTGTGTGTGCACAATAGACTGAGGTACTTTAAAGTCTTTTCAAGACAACAGAAGAATATGAATATAAATACAAATATAAACACACACACACATAAACCTTATGAAAAACAAAATCAGTCCAGCCATGGTGTTGTGTTGTTTCTCCATCCATTGAATAAAAATTGCATCCGCCTGCAGCTGTCTTCCCTAATGGTGTTCAAGAGTCCCGAACAAAAAACATCAAGTCAGGGTGCCTTTATTTGCATAGTGTCACCTCACCTTAAACTCAGACCTCTCCCTTGCTTCTCTCCACTCTGGCTGGGAAGGCCTTTGATTCCTGCTGCTGGAGTTCCTGTTTGCTCTCCGAATTGTTTGATCACTCAGGGCAGAGCAGAACAGCATGTCGCTGTTGCCTTTTTGGCAGAGGCTTGATATTCAACAGTAGGTGGCTTCTCACCAGTTTGGCTCTTGCTTTAGGACAATGAGTGACAAGATGTTAGTTCACACAGCACGACTTATGTAACTTACAAAAGAAAGAGATCAGACTGGAGGTTTGTTTGGCAAATCAGCAAGATTTTCAAAACAAGAATAAAAGTCTTCTTTCCCTGTATCCCAAGATAAAGAGGACTTGGCCAAGCTACTAAAGGGCAACTCAGTCAAGAAAATGAGTCTATGTGGAGAATGTCACTTTTAGATGAAAACCATTCAAAATTGCCAGAATGGGTTCCCTGAAGATGTCCTTTGTGGGGAGAGGAGAGGTGGAAAACAGAAAATATTATTTATGAGAGTGTTCACTTATTTAAATAGTTGTTGGTCAGCTTTTTGTTGCTATGGCAAAGTACCTGAGAAAATCAGTGTAAAGCAGGAGAGATTTATTTTTGGCTCATGGTCCATGGTCTTTAGTTCATGGTCGATGGGCTCTATTGCTTTTAGGCCAATGGCAAGGCAAAAACATCATGGTGGAAGGGTGTGGCAGAGAGAGGAGAAAGGGCCAAGGACAAGATATCATCCCCAAGGGAATGCCCCCCACCCCAGCACCTTTTCAGCTAGGTCTCACCTCCTACATCTTCTACCACCCCTCTATAGTCCATCCAGCTATGAATCCCTTAACAGATTAATCCAGTTCATGAGATCAGAGCCCTCGTGAACTCGTCATTTTCCAAAACACCACCTCTGAACATCACTGCACTTGGGACCAAGACTTTTACACCAAGAGCTGTTGGGAGCATTTCAGATCTAAAGCATACAACAGCAGTGTCCATGTTAATATAAGAAATCTACACCTAGCAAGAAAATGTCTACCCCAGAGTTTTAAGACACCCAAAATTATATAGCATAATTTTGCTAGATCCTGATAAATTCCTGTAAATGCTTGTCTCCTGTTTAGTGGTGTTCTCAGCTGTACAGAAAGATAGTTGCTCAAAAGCAAACATCCTTTAACATGAAAGCTTTGAAATTGCTGTTTTTTTGAATTTGGGAACTGGTGTTTTGAGACCTCAATTATGATTTATCATCATAGCTGCAAAAAAATCTTCCTGAGAAGTAATACAATAATTGCTGAAACTCGGTATCTAGATTTCTCAACAAACCATGACAATTTGTTCACATTTGACTCTTCCTCTTTGCTGCCTAGGAATAATAGTCACATTGCAAACAAAATTTCCAAGATTGTTCAATGTTTCCATGTATTTCTTTTCTGTATAAATTTTAGAAAGCAGAAACGAACAAAAATATAGTCATTGCTTGCCTCCAGAGTTGCGAATGCTGATGCCAGTATACTTTCCTATAATTAACTGTGAAGGAAATAATTTTCCTCCAAATTCAAGCAGGCAGTTAGTTTTTATTTCAGATAATTTAATGTCCATCCCCTCTACCCACCAGTCACATATATATTCCTTGCTAAGATCACCTCTCAATGCAATAATAGACCTGCAAGATCCATTTACCACTACCTCTGGAGAAGTTAAATTTCCTCATATGTGTTTGAAAATGAAGTAAAACAAAATAATTTCTACAACAATGATACAGTCTCCTTTTATAGAAATACAGCTAAAATAGAAGTCAAATACATTGACAAATCAACCAAACATGTTTCAATAAGCTAAAATCAAATGTACATCTTAAATATTGCATGGTCCTCCTTATTTTTTAAATCTGAAAAAGTATTACAAGTGTTGTTAGTAGCAAGTAAAGCAGAGAGGTGGGTCATGTCACAGAGCGGTGACAGAGGTAGTGACAAAAGAAATGAGTTCAAGCCATCTCATCCACTAACCACTTCATCTCTCCAACCTGACCTCTCTGAGTCTCTGGACAATAGCTGCTCTGTCCATTACTGCACTGGATGGTAGTGAGGTTCAGCTCAAATTGCATATATAAAGGTGCTTGAAAACTATAATGCATCTAGATAACGGTTAGATAAAGATTGTTGTTACCATGCAAATGTAAGGTGTTATGACTTTGTTAAGATGAGGTGAAAGCTGATAATCTTATCTTTCTGTTTCCACTTTATTCCTTATAGAGAAGGATTTTTTTTCTTCTTTCCTTCTATTTCTTTTTTTTTTTTTTTTTTGGTACCAGGAAACCAGGGACACTTAACTCCTGAGCCATGTCTTTTAGTCCTTTTTAAATTTTTTATTTTTAGACAGGATCTCACTCAGTTTCTGAGGCCATCACTAAGTTGCCGAGGCTGGCCTTGAACTTTCAATCCTCCTGCTTCAGTCACCAGGGTCTCTGGGATTACAGGCATTGTACCACCTGGCTAGAGAAGAATACTTTGTAAAAATCAAGCAGAGATTACAGAATCTCTATGAATGAAAGCAGCAAAGTATACAACTTAGTTCTTGAATCTTAACTTCCATCCTGCAACCTAGTTAAATCATATAATTGTGTGTGTGTGTGTGTGTGTGTGTGTGTGAGAGAGAGAGAGAGAGAGAGAGAGAGAGAGAGAGAGAGAGAGAGAGAGAATAATTGGAGACTGAACCCAGGGGCACTTTACCATTGAGCTATGTCTCAGCCCCTTTTACTTTTTTTAAATTTTGAGACAGGGCCTCTCTAAGTTGCTGAGGCTAACCTTGAACTTGCAATCCTCCTGACTCAGCCTCAGAGTCTCTGGGATTACAGTTGTACGCCATTGTGCCTGGCATGTCATATAATCTAATACTTTTAGATATGAAGGGACATTAGTCAACTTGTAGTCCCAAATCATCATTTTGTAGGCAAAACGACTGAAGTGCAGTTATGAGATGGCATGACAAGTTTGTGCCCAGAAGGTCCCCACAAGCATAAGAAGTCAGCAGACAGTGAGGAGCAGGGGTTCCTCCTTAGCTTCTGGCCACCTTTGCCGCTGATGGTAGTTTCACAAAAGAGGAATTAGTATGGGGGTCACTGATGGCTAACGGTGCGGTAAATATCATTTCCCTGAAAGTTAAAAACAACAGATTTGGTCACCTGTATGATTTGTGTTTGGAAAACGTCCGTGTTGACTGAACAAACACACTCAGGCACCGCACATCTGTGCTCCATGGTGTGGCCGAACTTTCATCCCACTAAGCCTGTTCTTTGAGAGAGACGGGCCTCCTGCTGGACTCAGCATGAGAACAACAGGGCAGGACACCAATTAGTGGAGGCATTTGCACCGATTCGACAGGACCACTGGGCAGGGAAGTGCCGCGGAGCCCAAGCGGTACTGGAAGAATGTCCTTTGGCAGTAAATAATTAAACTGAGAGTAAAAACGTTTGCCTTCATAGATGGAGATTTGATTTATGTTCAAGAAAATCTCCTGCCTTGGGAAAATCTGATCAGTTCCCAGTCCCACGAGATCTTGACAAAGCCACAAGGAATTGAACTGTTCTATTGCTGTGAACTAAATTCACCTTTTTGACCTTCAGCAGGACAGGCATGGGAACAGAGGTCATGACTCTGAGTTGGCCCAGCACTGGGTAGAAGCTGTCAAGAACCCAATCCCTACTTCCTCAAAATAGACACCCTCTTTAATTATGGGCCTCTCTGGACCTCTAGTGCCATACTTTGAGAGCTCTTAAGTTTTGACTTAACTGTAATTGTTACATATTGTCTTTTCTACGTTTTTATACCATGAATCATTTTTAGAGTGAAAAATAAAGAAAAATAACCAGCCATGTGTTGGCTGCACTTTTTATAGCACATGTTTTGCTTTTAATCCTTATTTACAGATCTAATTCCCTCTTGGTCAATTTCCATTCAGACGGATCCACTAGAAAACACTAAGAAAAGATCACAAACCGAATCTCCTATGAAAATATCCTCAGAAATTTTCAACAGCTCTAAGAGGTTTGGCCTCAGACCCAAACATTAACATGATCGCTCAATTTTAATGAGGTCAAACAAGCCGCTGGGCATCTGGCAGGTGCTCAAGGTCTTGGCCTGAGTGGGGAGGACCACCTTGTTCTTACGGAGAGTGTAAGAGGTAGTGACAGGTGATAATGTAATGCACAAGGCTGCTGCCCTTGGTCACTTCATCTTTTCACCCCACTGCATTCCCAGTGGCAAAGACATTCTAGCCATATGTCTGCAGATTTACCAATATCTGAGGACCTAAAATTTTTTACAGAGAAAATTTTTAAAAAAATTTTAATAAAGCCCTAACATATGTCACCTTGGGTTCATCAATCTAAGAAAATGAGAAAGAAAACAATCCTGTGAAAGTGCTAGGCAGAGAGATGGAAATTCCTAGCTGCACCGTTAATGTGATGTTTCAAAACACATGTGCATTCTTCATGGTCGAATCAGGTTAAACATAGCTCTCTCCTCCAATGTTTATCATTTGTGGTGAAAACAAACTCCTTCCTTTCAACTCATAGGAATGTACAGAACCATATCAATATCCATAGTCACCCTACTATGCAAAGAGAACACCAGGGCTACTCTTCCTATCCAACTTGGTACCCACTAATTGACTTATGCCATGCACTCAACAACCTAAAACCAGGATCACAAATCTTTGAAAGGTACTTCATGTGTCACCATGAGAGTACATACAGGAGGCCAGGTCACTGTACCCCAGAGGGGCAGAGTCCAAGAGAATATGCTGCAATGTGAGAAATGTTCAGCAATCACACTGTCCAATATGGTAGCCATTTGCCTTGAGTAGCCACTGAGTTCCTGAAATGTGCCTAGGGTGACTGGGGAACTGGGTTGTTACTTTTATTTAATTCTAACTAATTTAAATTAAAATTGCCACATATAGCTAGTGGCTCTCTCATTTGACAGGACAGCTGAATAGAGTATAAACAAATCTTGTGGGCTGTTAATCAATCAGATTCACTGAAAGCGGGCATCTTAAAGAAGAAAGCCTTCTCCTCTGGTGTTTTCCATTACCACCATCATATTGGTGATCTAACATCACCTGAGGATTTCTGAAAATGAGGAATAAAAAGGGTAGAAAATCTTACGAATTAAGTCAGCACTTTTCAGGTGATAGAACATTGATAAGATGGCCACTTACACACGCACCCTGGGTGCAGAGATGGTACCATGTAGTATATTGCTTGACCCTATTCAAATCTCAGGCAAACCAGTCCACCAGCAGCTATAAGTAACAATAGTT